CTTTCCGCTTTTTATTTTAAAAAAAGGTGTTACTACATTTTTAACTTAATTTTTTTTACAAAAGTAATATTTAGTTTCATAATTTTAATTTTTTTTGAGTTTTTTGTTTACATTTAAATTTTTTTTTTTTGTTACATTTTATTTTTACCCTTAACTTTTTCCCTTGTTTTAAATACAATACGATGTTACATTTCCATTTCTCCAAAAGTAAACTTACCTACATTTCTGTGTCTTTGAAATTTTAAGCTGGAATTTACATGCATATAACTTCACTAGATAATATTTTCTGTAAAATTAAGCCAATATACACAATGCTCTTTCTATATAGTTTAACTGGAATACTACATTTCTTACTTTTTACTACTAAGTTGGAGATACTCAGAACTTTTCCTTCTAATGCATTGTACTAACTATTAATGACTGTATTAACTTTTTTGGCCAACTATACAAAACTTTGTTGATTCCCTTTTACACGTCTTACTTTATTCAAAGGATTCACCAAACTATGTCTGACAAATGTAATTTTTACACTTTCCATTTACACATTTTTACCCTTATATTTAACTTATAAAACATATTCATGCTGTATTTCTGATTCCTTTTCCTCATAATAAATACAGACTTACACATGTTTCTTTATTGTAAGACTTACTAACTTTAAACAAATCTTATAAGGAGCAATAAATTTTCATGGTATAAAGCCCACTCAAACCAATGCATGGAGCATTTCTACCCAGTTAAGTTTAGATACGTACCAATAGTACTTCATTTCTTCTTATTTTACTCTACAGACATTTATACATATATATTCAGAACACTCCCTTTTATTCAGTAAGATTCATTTATACTACTAACACAAATTTTGCTAACTCTTTTGAAATATTTTACAAAAATATCTTGTAATTTCTTGGCACACATCCTACTTAAATCACCAAACATACACTGAACCTTGATTTTTCCTTCATGTGAAAACGTCACTCGGATTCTTAATATGATTCCACCATTTAACCGCAGAACTTTATAAAACACTACTCTATTTGAACTTATCACAGCCTAACTCTCTTAACAAGGTACAGAAGATTGAATTATATTTTAACTACAGAGAAGAATATCCACATTGTAACGTATTATTTTAAATTTGAATTATAGTCACATTTTGTGAAGGAGAACTTAAAGTCTATAATACACATGGAATTAATATTCAGCCATGGAAATGAAACTTTATCGCCTTTTTTCCAATTTGGAATATAAAAATTTGTTAACTTGGAATATTTTTAACGTATTCATTGTAACTTAACTGAAAAATACCCATATTTCACATTGTCAATAATTTATTTAGCACTGAACTCTTACAGCCTTTTGAGAACGAAATTTAATTTATCATACCTGACAAATGACTCCTACATAGTTATGATACATTACACGAAATATTGAGTAGAGTTCCAAATAATGATCTAACATAGTAATTAACATAAAAGACCTAACACAAATAATTTTAAGATAGAAATTTCAAACTGACATTGCTTAATAATGAACTTTTACAGCTTTTTTGACATTTAACTTCTCATAGATAATAAATAAAATTACACACAAATAATTATACAAAATAGGTAATAATGACAGAAAGTCCATATAATGATCTACTATAGTCACCAACTTTAAAAATTTTAACGCATTTTTAATATGTCATAAGAAAGACCACACTTTTTGAAAAGCATTATTTTAATTAAACATTGGAACCACGCAGTCCTGCGCACATGTACATTTTTATTTATCATGAGCATGACACATAATAAGTAAATAAAAATTTTCACAAAGTACGAAACACATTTCTCTTTTAACTGAACTGTACTCTTAAGAAAAATGCAGTATGGAATGCTTAGAACACTCAGGGCCACAGTTCCTCATTTCCCCACGCATTGACCAAAATATACATGTACTTTAAAATCATCAGTTAAACAAATTCAAATGTTAGTATTCAAAGAGGAATACTTCACAAATTAGATGAAAGAGAGGTACACAATGAACTTGAGTGATAAATACAGAAAAGCATGTAAGGACCGAGAAAAAGATGTATTCGTGGAGAACTTTTTAAGATAAAACTTGCTCTATTTTTGCACATGGGTTACATTTTGCATTTCAGATTAAGGAAACATTCAAGATAATTCCTGTATAACTAGGGATTTTATTCACACTTGTTAGTAATGTAATTTATTAGAACAGTCGCACAGATATATAGGACAAGTATGCCATTTCCAAGGAAAACAATTTTCCCAAGCCAGACTTTAACAGTGAAATATAAAATGGAATAAGGAAAATGCCATATTTCCAACAAAATTAGTATCTGAGTATGCAAAAACATGAACAAGAAGAAACGATATTTTTTCTGAAAATGTTCCGAATGGTTTAAGTCAGGACTAGTTTCATGAACAGAGCATGAAAAATAATGATGAATTTTTAATTTTATTTTGTCTGTAGTACATTTACTTATGCTAAAATCTTCCATTTGGTTGACTGTACTTTACATTTAGACGCAAGTTGATAAATCAGAGTGATTTTGTGTTTTAAAGCTTCAGATTCAGAAATATTACAACTTCAGAAATAATACAACTCAAAAGCAAAAAGATTAAAACGACAAGAGAATATACTGCAAGCAAGCGAACGTGATAAATGACATTTTTGGGCTGATTTCATGAATTCATAGATCGGGTGCAAAATTTTAATGCACGCTGTATATGAACTATTTTTCAAATGTATTACGATCACTGTTTTCCAACTTTACATAGACTTTAAGTAAACATTTCATGTTAATTTACCATTTTTTCCTGAGATTTATCTACGTATTTACTAAATTTTTGCATTTTGTTTATAAGTATAATGCCAAAAGGACATAAGAGAACATTTGTTTCTTGAAAATGTCCATATTTTTTACCCAACTGTTATTTCTTTCATAGCTTTGAAGTAACCTATTAAACACATAGTTATCCTGTATTGACCAGACAGCCGTTGGTCTTGCCAATGTCTGAGGGAAGTCTCAAAGCTAGAGAATTTAAGTAATATTTTACCAGTACGGAGAACTTCTTACGGCGTTTTTGATGAAAATTGACCGAATTTAGTAGTTCATTACTAACCTAGGAGCCTTTAACTATTTTTTTATTCGAAAAAAACACACAGAAATTATCATCAAGATTTTCCATACAGATATATTGTACTACTTTTCATGCCATTACATTTCCAATGAAATTTGATTCATTGTCAGATAGTTAAATGTTTGTTATTTTTTCGCATACGAATGCATTTCGTGTCTCACATACGCTCATTACATATGATTTAACAAAATTACAAACAAGTTGGAAGTTAAATGAATATTTCCTGAAATACTGTACATTTCATTCCGGAAAGTTTACATGAGTATTTTCATTTTGAAACCCCTAATGTTTCTTTTCCTGCATTCAAAGTAAATTTTGAGTATAAAATTTTCAGTTGTGACGGAAGTTATTTGTGGGTGGTTGTGAGGTGTTCGTGTTTTCATAAACCGTTTTTTGTGAAGTACCTATTAGTAACCTTTTGAACACTTTGAATACCCTTTTTTACGGCCACTGCAAATCATTGAATTTTCAAATATTTTCTTATTTATCTTTTACAAGTCCTTGTAAAGATTTGGGAACAAATTTTTATTAAATAGTTATATTGTATGATTTAATAACTTTTTACACGTTTGGAAGATTTAACTTCAACAACACTACCACACTGAATCAGAAATTAAGAAAAGAAATGGAATTTTTTATCTTAGTATACTACAGGAATAGATTAATTTTCTCTAGCACTGATGTATTCGAATGTAGTAGATAATGGAGACTTTTAACACAGATCATACAGACTTTGAATATTTTCTCTAAGTCACCAAAATTGCATTGTCATAGATTTTTCTCATAAAGTCTATTTCTTTCTTAAAAGAAGTTTATATACTAATTTCATTAGAAACATATCTAAGAAAATATCTCACATTCATAAGAAAATCAGCGCTTGTTTCTTTACCAAATTTGTACTTTCTGACTTCATTCTACTGAAACGAAAACATTCATAACTTATTGCGAAGAAAAATGTTATACTTTTTGATTAATTTTCATACCACAGTATTATCTTTGAAAATTTTTTTCCTAGTCCACTGCTAATATATTGCTAATTTTCGTACGTGACAAAACAAAATTCAGTTTAGAAACTCTTTTACTTAAAACCTTGTATTATTGCATTGCTGAACCGGGGCCATGCTTTCATTTTTATTACATATCATGCGAATATTTTAAAAAAAGCATATTTTTTCCTTCTGTTGGCGCAATTTTAACCAACGTTTTACTATTACAGAGACTTCTTTAGTAAAATCTCACGTGTTAAATTGAACGTTTCATTACTAATTTTGAAGATTCTGGATATATCCTACTTAAAAGTTCATAACCGATTAGCAAAGTAATTTATATATGTACTTCGTTGTGCTCTTGGTTAATTTTTAAATCGTTGTTCAACTATAACACTTGATTTCTAGTGAAGTATCGAAATGATTATTTACTTTCCGCTTTTTCCAAAGAATTTCGTAGACACATATGTTCAGTACAGAAAAATTTTCCTAACTTACCAGTATCATTACCAAAATAGAAAACATGCAAAATTTTCCTAAAAATTTATATATTTGTTTTTTACAAACATTTACACGAATACCACATTTAATTTTAATTAATGCATTAATCGATGCTCACTTAAGTTTCAGGAGATTGCTGGCAGTGTTTCCTCCGCAGGAACCACTTTTTTGAAAATCCGCTATATAACTAGTTTTGCATAAATTATCGTTCCAGATTTTGCTGAGTACTTGATTTTCATTATATCTCTTTTTATTAAATTTACACTTTATATGCTATGTAATTCCAAAAATAAGCTTCGAATAGGATGAATATTTGCACATTCTACTGAATTGCCTAGATCTGAAGAATTTCTTTTACTTCCAGATTTTTACCTTATGTCTGCATAACCTGCATGTATTCCATTCGTCTTCCTACTACCGATAGGAAAAATTACAGTTACGTGAGAGATTTGGAATACTGAAGTTCATATGAATGTTGAATACTGGGAACAAATCCGGCATTCTGTCATAATTGAGTAATACTCTGAATAATAAAATTTTAAGAAAACATCAGTTTCATTCACGTGAATAAATTAAATACATTTTCCAAAAAAAAACATCCAGGAAATCTATCACAAGTTTCAACATAAACGATCTACACATATATTTTTTTAAGTATTTAAATAACTCATAAGTTGAAGATAAACCAGAGAAAAAAGTATATTCATTGGCATATATCAACAGCAAAGATAAAATAGTTTCCAATAGCAAAGAGAAAACAGTTTCAAAATGTCTAAAAGACTACCGAGAGCACACTCTCAAAACTTTTGCGAAAAAAAGATGACATCACAAATACAAAAATTTTACGGAACATAACATTAGTTAAAAATTTTCGTTCGAAATTTTAGTTCTGATATAGGAAAATACACATTAAATAATTAAATGTGGGTATTCGTGTAAATGTTTGTAAAAAACAAATATATAAATTTTTAGGAAAATTTTGCATGTTTTCTATTTTGGTAATGATACTGGTAAGTTAGGAAAATTTTCTGTACTGAACATATGTGTCTACGAAATTCTTTGGAAAAAGCGGAAAGTAAATAATCATTTCGATACTTCACTAGAATCAAGTGTTATAGTTGAACAACGATTTAAAAATTAACCAAGAGCACAACGAAGTAGACATATATAAATTATTTTGCTAATCGGTTATGAACTTTTAAGTAGGATATATCCAGAATCTTCAAAATTAGTAATGAAAACGTTCAATTTAACACTTGAGATTTTACTAAAGAAGCTCTGTAATAGTAAAATGTTGGTTAAATTGTGCTAACAGAAGGAAATAAATGCTTTTTTTTAAAATATTCGCATGATATGTAATAAAAATGAAAGCATGGCCCCGGTTCAGCAATGCAATAATACAAGGTTTTAAGTAAAAAGGTTTCTAAACTGAGTTTCGTTTTGTCACGTACGAAAATTAGCAATATATTAGCAGTGGACTAGGAAAAAAATTTTCAAAGATGAATGAATAGAATGAAGTCATAAATAGAATGAAGTCAGAAAGTATAAATTTGGTAAAGAAGCAAGCGCTGATTTTCTTATGAATGTGAGATATTTTCTTAGATATGTTTCTAATGAAATTAGTATATGAACTTCTTTTAAGAAAGAAATAGACTTTATGAGAAAAATCTATGACAATGCAATTTTTGGTGACTTAGAGAAAATATTCAAAGTCTGTATGATCTGTGTTAAAAGTCTCCATTATCTACTACATTCGAATACATCAGTGCTAGAGAAAATTAATCTATTCCTGTAGTATACTAAGATAAAAATTCCATTTCTTTTCTTAATTTCTGATTCGGTGTGGTAGTTGTTGTTGAAGTTAAATCTTCCAAACGTGTAAAAAGTTATTAAATCATACCGTATAACTATTTAATAAAAATTTGTTCCCAAATCTTTACAAGGCACTTGTAAAAGATAAATAAGAAAAATATTTGAAAAATTAAATGATTTGCAGTGGCCGTAATATTCAAGTTTCAAAAGGTTACTTCACAAAAACGGTTTATGAAAACACGAACATCACAACCAACCAAAACAAATAACTTCCGTCACAACTGAAAATTTTATACTCAAATTTACATTGAATGCAGGAAAACAAACATTAGGGGTTCAAAATGAAAATACTCATGTAAACTTTCCGGAATGAAATGTACAGTATTTCAGGAAATATTCATTTAACTTCTAACCTTGTTTGTAATTTTGTTAAATCATATGTAATGAGCGTATGTGAGACACGAAATGCATTCGTATGCGAAAAAATAACAAACATTTAACTATCTGACAATGAATCAAATTTCATTGGAAATGTAATGGCATGAGAAGTAATACAATATATCTGTATGGAAAATCTTGATGATAATTTCTGTGTGTTTTTTTCGAATAAAAA